GGCCTTGTTAATTAATCTCTTCCCCCTTCCTGAAATCACCATAATATTTACAATCTTTTCTACACATTTTAATTTAACTACTCATGTTTCACAACTAAACTGGAAGTGCCTCTGGTCTTTTGTGTGCCCTCCCGCTGCTACACACTTTTGAATACATTGTAAAATACTCAGGAAATACTGTACTGGTTAGTTAAGTGAATGAGGGAGCCTTGGTGGCACAGTGGTTAAGCACTCAGCTGCTAACCAGAAGGTCAGAGGTTCAAACCCACCTATGGCTCCAAGGGAGAAAGATAAATAGCCTTGGAAACCCTATGGGGCAGTTCTAGTCTGTCCTATAGGGTCTCTGTGAGTGGGATTCAGTTTGTCTCCAATGGGTTAAGTGAATGGTAATTCTATCAGGTAGTCCTTTTACTGCTGCTTATTTTTATCCTCATAGGAAGGTTTTCTCCTTGGAGAAGTGAAAGGTGAAGCCAAGAATAGCATTACTGACTCCCAAATGGATGATGTTGAAGTTGTTTATACGATTGGTGAGTCACTTATTTCTGTCTCCAATTGTTAATAGTTGTATGCTAAAATTACTGTTTTAAAATTGCTAAAAAAAGAATACCAATTTTTAAAAGCAGAGTTAAAAAGACCGTATCGTACTCCTTCTCAATTAAAATTAAGACCAAGGACTGGTCTAAAGTTACAATGGAAACATGGTACATAGGAATGATAAGACTATTGTGAGGAAACAAGAAAGATGAAACAGCTCCTGCATATATTTAGGTGGCAGAAGAAGATGGCCCACCAAAAGGAGAAGGAACCAATAAGGCCAGACCAAGAACAGAGAAAACGGTTTCCAGGAAGATGCTGGGATCAACAGTGTTAAATGTTGCAGAGAAGTCCAAAGATGATAACTGAAAAGACTTGAGTAATTTCTGGAGTGTAGTGGGAAAAAGGCCAGACTACAAACAGTTTGAGGAGTTGGGTGGTAAAGCAGCCACAGTTGGTAGCAGCTGTTCTTTCAGGGAAAAAAAGGAACAGAAACTTTAAAATATATAGGGAGTTTTCTGGTTATCTAATATATACAGTTTTTTCTTAAGCATATGTATATTTTTAAACAAAATTGGGGATGTACTTTATAAAAAGTTTGTCATCGTGACATTGTGTCAGTGTGTAGACTGTTGTTAAATAATCTACAATATGATTTTGAGTAGTACATTATATTCCACTATGTGGACTTACTGATTTAAGCAGTCCTTTAACTAAATTATAATCAGACTATTCCCAGTTTTTCATTATTATAAATTATATAACAGCAGACATCGTTGTACATAAATATATGTCTACTTGCATTATAGATAGATTCCTGGGAATGGTATTACAGTGTCAAAGGGTATGAACAGTTTTTAAGTTCTTGATATATATTAGCAAATTGCTTTCCAGAAAGATTAT